GTGTGCCATCTGATCTGAATTTAAGCTTGTAAACCCACTTACTACTAATGGGTTTCTTACCCTTAGGTAATGTAGAGAATTCCCATATTCCAGTATCTTCTAGAGCCTTGAACTATAGATTTATGGCATGCTGCCACGCTAGATCAACTTTAGCTTCTTTATAGTTCCTTGGCTCCTGCATATTAGGAACATTGTGCAAAAATTGTTGACTAGCTAGAGTTAGAGCCCCAAAACATATATGTGAAGAGGGAGCAGTGGAAGTAATAGAGGCTTCATTGCCATCCCATGGCATTGTTGGGATGCATGCATAAATTCTTCTTTATAATGGACACTTACGTCACAAGGGGATGGGGGGACCATACACAGATACACTCCTACAATATTCTCTTTCTTGTGATAATAGTTCTTCATCTTCTCAACAGCTTGAAGCTCCATTAATGGCTACAAGCTACTTCACTCATGTATATGTAAACTCACTCGAGATTAATTAAAGTTCCTCCTCTTGGCATGATACTGCCTAAAAAGACCCATGATTTTTTCCTAATTAGGGTTTCCACGTATAAATAATTTCTCTTTGCTTTATTTATTTGACTATTTACCCAATTTCGCTATTTGGTACGGTGCGGACCCAATACCGAGTTCGTTAGGTCGAAGCCTCGAAAAAGTGGTTTCCATCAGGTCCATAATGAAGTAAATCTAGACCTAAAAATTCAGGCCCGGACTGGTCCGGACCGGTAACCAACAGGTCCGGACTTCGGTCTTTACAAATAGCTAATTTTGGTTCCGGTCTGGTCTGGTCTTATTTTGGACCGGTGCACACCCCTATGTACAATGTTACATTATTACAGTGTGAGCTTCTATTTAGATAATAAAAATATGGAATACCTTTTTTTTGGTACTTTCTCTATGTTTCACTCCTATTTAAGGTAATTTCTTCTATTATACCTCAAAATTTGTTCCCCAAATTATACACTACCACTATGTTTGGTTCAAGGAATTCAAAGGAGAAAAGAAAAGAAAATGAAGTGGAAAATAAGTTTTCTTGTTTGGTTAGAAAGGAAAAGTGGAAGGAAAAGAGAATGAAAAGGCAAAATGTACCAAGTGGAGGGAAAATCAAATTCCTTCCATTTTGGTAAGGAAAATGATAGAAAACCATTTTCTTTTCTTTTCCTTCAAAATTCCTTGAACCAAACATAGTGTACATGTGTGCACATTCATTTTGTGCTAGTGTTATGCTAGGGTGATGATCATAAATGTACAAAATGTTAGTTCAATTTTTATTAGTGTATTTATTTGGTGTAATTTTAACTTTTATGATGTAAGTGTAACTGGCTGTTATTTTTTTCATAATTAGTTCACGATCCCTATGATTGCGGTCTAGTTGTTTAACTCGTTAGTCAACTGTAAGGGTAAAAAAATATTGAGCAAACCTACCGTATCAGGCACGCAGTCACAACATTTGTAGATGCGTAGATGATACCTCTGAAAAAGATTGCAACAATACATTATTTAAAAATTTATGATCATTTTTTATTGAATACGGAGTATTCGATAATAAAAAATTTGTCACAATATATTTTCTAGAATTTTTGGTGAAAAAATTTAAATATATAATTTTTACTTTTTATTTATTTATTAATATTTAAATAAAAGGAATTAAAAATTAAAAAAATTATTTTGTTAAATGTAATATTGAAATCTTTTTAGGGCACCGACGGAGTACAAAAAGTCCAAGAGCGACGTAACCAAATTTGCCGTCACCTAGAGTCGTAACCTTGCGTGTCATCCTCTTCGGCAATTATGGAATGAATATTACATCATCTTTAGACGTCATTTTACCATACCTCTCTCAACCACCTAAATGTTTGGGGTAAGCCAACTTGTACCCTGTCATCTTCACTCCTAGTGCACATTTTTATGGCGAGGATAAAAAAAAATTAAAATACATAAGAAGGTGTGGTACTCTGGCGCAGCCGTGCACGAATTACCGGTAGGGTTAGAAGTGTAAACTGATATTAATTGCATCGGTTGTGTCATTACGAAATTCGTATGTATTTTTTTTTGTTAGATATCAAATTCGGATACGGATCTTGATGGATACTAAAAATCAAAATCGTATCCACATCCGTTGGATATATCCGTATCCGTTTTCAATTTTAAAATCAAATTAAACAATACTTTAATTTTAAATCTCACACACACACACACACACATATATGTAAAGTTGAGTGTATTGGTTATGGTGTTGACATGTGGCATGCCACATGTGCACTAATTATGAGATGGAGACATTTTATTGGTTCATTAAGTTTTTTAAGCATCCACAACAACAACAAACCATGTGAATCCTATAACAGTAGGTTCTGGAGAGTGTGCGTGTACGCAGACCTTGCCCCTACTTGAAAGTAGGGAGACTGTTTCCAAGAGACCCCCGGCTCCACCTGCACAAAAATTATGAGATGGAGTATATTTTTAAGCATCCACATGTGCACTAATTATGAGATGGAGTATATTTTATTGTATTATATTAAATGAAAATTATTTTTTAGCATGAATAAACATTACTTTGATTATATTTTGTATAAAACTTTCATTTTCTAACGATTCTATAAATATATATTTCACTATTGTAAAATATACTCCGTATTTTAAATATGCATATTGATTGTAAAATTTTAAAAAAGAGCATGTATAAGACTCTCTATTATTAATTTAAAAATACTTCACTTTCAAAAAATGAAAAAACATTTCACCTTCAAAGATATTAAATTGTTTTTGGCATTTTTATATTTTATTTAATGTAATATTTTTTAAATAAAATATAGTTATAGAATTTTTAATGCATGTACATCAATATTTAAAGTATACTTTTTATTTAAAAAATATACTCCGTATATCTTAGAGTAACAAAATATTCATTTGAAATAAATAAAATTATATTTATAGAATGTCAAAAGTTTGGAATGTATACAAGCACGTGCGAAGCACGGGGTTGACACTAGTTGTATTAAAGTCAAACTATTATTACATCAACTGTAATTTGTTATGAGATAATTATTTTCTTTGTTTTCATTATTTATGATATTCTAAGATAACTTCATATGATAAAAAGATATACACAACACACATATACACATATTTTTATATGTCTGCACATATTTGTATGTGTCTACACTTTTATTTTGTACATGAAAATATTTTATACATTCAAATATCAATAGAGAAACAAAATATAAACATAAAAAATTAGGAAAAACTATATATATATATATCTGATCGGATATTGGAAAAAACAGTTATTTAAATGAATGCAGATTCAGATGAGATTTTAAACAAATTGAATATACAATTATCATATTTGTATCCGTTTAGTAATCAAATATCCTTAACCGGAAACGGATAATATCCATTGACAGCCCTAGGTAGGGCATACAAGTTGGGGTAGAGTTCGGTGTACCACTAGCATTATTTACTATCTCCCTTCCTAGGTATTTCTCTAATTTTGATTTTTTTCGGTCAATTGTTTTTAACCTTTGACCTATAGTTGAAAAAATATATATTGTATATTAATTAGAAAAAATAATAGTTTAAAAATATATATTTGATAATATAAATCTAATAAAACTATTTTTATATCAATATTTAATGTCATTTAAATTTAATTTGAAGTAAAAGTTTACTAATTTTGTTCGAAAAAATCAAAAGTAGACAAATACTCAGAGACTAAGGAAGTATTAAACTTCTCAACTAACCTTTTAAAAGGTAGAGCATCATCCTTGAAGGTCTCCTCAAACCGGTCCAATAGTTAGATGTGATGAGATGAATTCAACTTTAACAGAGACTTACAAAAAAAAGATGAAGCTTGTACCAGGTGCAGTTTGCACTCTTTGTTACTAGTCTCCATTTAAAGTTACACTAACCGCCTTTTAGTAGCCTTTCGACTAGGATTAAGGAAGCTCTCGAAGATAAGACTAATCTTTTTTACAAATAAAGTGAATGACGTTTTTTTTAGTAAATTTCATAAAAAGTCTCTAGTTATAAGTCGTTTTACATGTTTTCCATACATATCAAATATTACTAATTTAGTCACTAATTATTATATTCATTTCCACGAATGGTTCTTTGTTAACATTTCCATTAAAAACGTGAATAAAATTGTAAATTCACATTCCTTTCTCTCCTAAATTAAGCTTCCTCTCTCCCCTCGCACTCCTTTCTCAAATCTGTCGTTGAGTTTGAATCTTTGAACCCAGAACTGAAATCAGCACTCTTCTCTTAATTATTTGTCTAACTGGTGGAAACAAAATTCAAAACCAGTAACCTTCATTGATGAGTTTTAATGTTTATTTTCTTTGCAATTTCTTGAGACTTACCGATAAAACTCATCCATAAAGCTTATTGAATTTGATTTTTGGTTCCACCATGAAGACTAATAATTGAGAGAGCAATGATCATTTCAATTTTGGGTTTGAAGCTTCAAACTCAGCGACGAGTTTGGAAAAGACTACGAGAGAAGGGAGGAAGCTTAATTGAGAAAAAAGAGAGAAGTATGAATATACAATTTTATCCATGTTCTTAACAAAAACGTTAACAAAGGACCATTCATGAAAAATGATACTCCCTCCGTCCCGTAAAATATTTCCTCTTTCTTTTTTTATCCGTCCCTTAAAACACTTCCTATTTCTTTTAAAATGACTCTTTTACCCCTCCACCCAAACCCTACTGATTGAATACGCCATGACACTCCAACCCTTCATTTGCACCGATTCCCACACCTTCTTCATCTCTCTCCAGATCCAATTTCATCCTCTTCCTCTTCTCTAGATCTAAATCTATTCTTCTCTCTAGATCTAATTTCATCCTCGAATAATAGATCTAAAGCTCCTTAACTTCAGATCTATTCTTCTTTGCCCCGATATGATGTTTTCTCGCGATCCTTCGATTCCCAGTTTTCAACTATTGAATGATAGTGATGACGATGCAGTTCCTAGATATGGAGACCCTCCTCCATCGAAGGCTGGGATTAAGAGGGTTGAGTTAAATCGTTGGGGATTTGATGGAGGAGATACTGATTCCTCTAAAATAGACCCAACATGGAGCGTCTGCAAAAAATATCTAGGGGTGGTTACTATTCTAATCCTGAACGGAGTTATGAAGAAGAAGGGGATGAAGAGGAAGACAGGGAATCAGTGACCTCTGAAGAAGACGGGGAATCGGTGACCTCTGAACAGAGTACACGCTCTACACTCTCTTTTACTACGATTTACCTATGATTGCTTTTTGGCAAACTAATGATGCAAATCTCTGCTTTACATAAATAACATTTGTTCATATGTGAGTTGCTAGTGTTGTAATGTCACCCACGTATTGTGTTGGAGACTTACAAAAATCAATTTTGCCTAGGATTGGTCTACCTGTGTTCATGTCTTTATTTCAGATTAGAACAATCCACCTCTGTTCAGTTTTGCCAAAAATCTGTATAAAAAATAGATTTTATACTTTTTTTTAGAAACCAGATGCTACACTACCTTATCCAAAGAAAACAGATGCTACATTGCCTTTAATAAGAGAACAGATACTACACTTCTTCTTTAAGTGAAAACAGAACAGACACCTTTTGATAAGAAAACAGATGCTCCACTTCTTCTTATGGTGAAAACAAAATAGACTTTACACTAGATACTACACTACTTAGTCCCAAAAGTTTGTCAAGAAATCTACATAAAAACATTAGTTGGCAGTAGCTATACATCATGTTCAATGCCCAATCTGTATGCCAGATTTTCATACTACACTGATTACATGTCATCCAAAAAAGTTGTGCAAAAAAGTCATTCAATGGGAGTACATTAAAGTATTGTACCTTTACCCATGATGTTTGTACATACAAAAAACCAACCCTTCCAAGTCTTCCAAGTCTGGCCAAACTCTTCAAGTACCCATTTTGTTTCTACAGGTGTTCTTCAAGGAATTTTTTTTCTTCCTGGTACACCTCTTTAGTTACCCCCAATATTATCTGGTAGCCTTCTAAGTCTGGCCAAACTGTTTTTCCCTATGTGTGGGATTTTGAAGTTTTTGCCCCCTTTCTGTTTAAGTACCTCCCCCATTACACTTTGACATGTTAAGAAAACATTGTTTAACTTCTAAGGGGTGAGGTCCTCAAATGATTTGGTAACAACATTGATGAGTTCTTCTAAGTTCCTAGGTGCTGCGTGGTCTTGAATTGTATCAATTGACCTAAAATATCCCAAATCCAAAACATTCAGGTCTGGGCTATTAGGAGGTTGGAATTGAAGCTTAATGTTCCAGTTTCCCTCCTGTGCAGCTTGTACAAACTCAGGGTCATTCACATCCACATGTGGTTTAGCATTATCTTGTTGTATTATTACATCTCTTGTTGGACCAGGCCATTTTTCTTTGATGGCTAGAAGTAACTTCTCCAGTAACATCTTTTTCATTTCATCTCTGTTAATAGTGGTGGTTGCCTTGACCTCTAATGTACCTGCTGGCCTGTTTTTGCTAGACCTTTTGGCCTGAGCTTCATATGTGAATGGGAATATACCTATTTTCCCATCCCAAACCACAGCCCCATCATTCCCAAACCTAGGCCTACTAACAGCTGCTAGGAACATGATTTTTGGTATGTGAGTCTTTAATTGAGCAGTTTTGTATGGATTTGGTTCATCTGGTAGTGCATAAAATGTTGTCTTTTCCTTTGTGATGTTAAACCATTTTTCATCAATATGAATGTAGTCATAGAAATGATGAAATGTGGGGTTCATGGGAATTGATGGGGCAGAAATATGATCCAAGCAGTATTTCAGTCTTTTGAGCTTACCTTTTTCACAGAGAAAAAGCTTGATGGCATTCTTATTTTCTTGCCCTTTAGCCACCTTTGGACTGTTGATTTTGAAACATCCATTGCATAGGCTAAGGCACGGATGTTCTTCCTCATGTGAAAGGGTACTGCTAACATTTTTTGAGTGTCAACAGTAACCCTTTTTGGCCCAGAATTCCCTATCCACTTGCACTGAACATTGACGGGTAGACCTTCCGGCATTTGAGTCTTAGCTATACTCCATATACTTCCAACTGTTTTGCTTGAGATATTGAATTCTGCAGCAACCTCTTTCATGCAGCCCCGCTGAAGTTTGCCATTTTTACAAAATTGAAGTAACTTTTCAATTACTCGTTTACGTTTACCATTACGTTCTTCACAACCATTTTTTCGCGAACTACTCCCCACTTCTTCTAATGTAGGGCTGTCCAGATTGAGAAGTGGAACCTGGACCAAAGGTGACAGATTCGTACTGACTGGAACTGAAGAAAAGGAGGATAAAGATGATGTTGTTGACAAATATGGTGGCGATGGCGGGGAGGACATCTCTACGGACAGCACAACAGAGGACAAAAGGAAGCTTTATGGACATGCTGAGGATGAAGTTAAGAGAAAGAAGGTGAAAAGGGACATGCTTTAAATGTGTATTAAATGCACAACTAAGTTTCTATTTATAGATTTTCAATTAGGAACATGATACTGTAATTGGAGGGAAGTTTAAAATTTACCAAAAAAAATTTGGCAAAAAAATTCCCTTCATGTTTGGATTTTGGCCTGTAAATTGTTAAACTTGCTGAATTGCATTGATGACACTCCCTGTAGGTGCCGAACAAATACACTGTGCCTTCTGTACTTGCTTAGTTTTCATTACTTTTCATTAAATGCAAATACTATTCACACTTTCTCTTTATCCTTCTTTATTTAAGGAGTAAATTCCATAATTGGTCCTTTATAACAGGGGAATTTCCATATTTAGTCCTCTATTATCAAATATTACTCCCGTAGTACTTTTTTAAGGATACCTTTCCACAAATGGTCCTTTTTTGATTTTCTGCCGCGTTGGTGTTAATTTAAAGGGTAAAAATATAATTTGACATCAACATTATGTTTAGTGACGTGTTCTGATATTTGTTAAGCGCATAACACAAAAATAATGACTATGATTGTGGGTTAGGATTCTGACGAAAGACCACATTTGTAGACTATGGTTGTAGTAGAAATCGACTATAATTCACAAACGATGCAAACGGAACAACCTTTGAAATTATGTATGACAAAAAAGATATATTATCATTATGAAATTATACTTTTAGCCCTCAAATTATTACCAACATCATAGAAGATCAAAAAAAGGACTATTTGTTGAAAGATACCCATAAAAGAAGGACCACTAGGATAATATTTGATAATAGAGGATTAAATAGGGAAATCCCCCTGTTATAAAGGACTAATTATAGAATTTACTCTTATTTAAGGGTTTGGGGGTATATTTGGAAGGTCAATGGTAAAAATACCCTCCCTTAAATTTCAGTTTTGGTCAATAAGTCCCATGTTTTACGGGACGGAGGGAGTATAATAGTTAGGGACTAAATTAGTAATATTTGATATGTAAGAACTAAATATGTAAAACGACTTATAGCTGGATACCTTTTATGAAATTTACTCTTTTTTTGAAGAAACCATTCTTCGACTCCTTTCCCTTTCAACTATTTAATTTTGTTTTTAATTTTCAACACCTATATATACACATACACCTATAAGAATTTCGTTATTACAAATCACTTGCAACTATTACTCCCGGCCTGTAAAAAAATGCAATCAAATTGTTTATAAAAAAGGTAATATAGTTTTAAATAATCTCACCTTTTTACGTTTTTTTAGAAATTAAATAATCTCACTTTTTATTGTCACAAAAAATAATCTTAAAATCACCATAAATAGGATTAAAATATAGAGAAAAGTACTTGTTGGATTAAGGAATCCATGGGTAGAGGAAAAGGAGAAAATGTGTAGAGATGAAGAAGATGATGAATAGTGTAGCCCCCATTGTTTCCTCCCCCCTCCTCTTCCAAGAAGAGGAGTATATATAATAGGAGACTTAGGGCTAGAGTTTGAGCATACATACAAACTGATGGGTGTATTTCACCCAAGACCGGTCAAAGGAGAAGGCCAAATCTTTGACCGGTCAATCTCGAAAGTTTTGGAAGGGAGACTTTAATCGTCAGCAAAACGATATATCATCGGCCAAAATTTGACCGGTACACTTCACAAAAAGTATACCGGTCAAACTATGTTGTCATCCCATTTGTTCCAGACTTCGATAAATTCATCCCTCGGAGATTACCCGGTGTAGTTTCTGGGGTTGGAAAGTGTCGGCAGGAGAGGATCTGCGAGGGTTTGGCGTGTAGCGACCCGTGTCAGTAGAGGACAACTGGAGATGCTGAAGAATCCATCCAAGGCGCTACTTGACAAAGGGAATGATCCCCTTCACAAGGCGACAAGGCAGCTTGAGGACGAAACCAGTCACCTCGCACCACATCGGCAGCATGCCCCCACGTGGGCGCACGTGGTCCTGTCCCCTT